TGGTTCAGTAAAGTGGTTCAGTAAAGTGAACAGCAGTGTTATGTGTTCACTTCATGCACTAATGGTGTTATATATTCACTTTAGTGGAAGTAGTGTTATGTGCTCACTTGATGCATCAATGGTGTTATATGTTCACTTTAGTGGACCAGTAATGTTATGTGTTAACTTTACTGAACTAGCGGTTTTAGATGTTCACTCTACAGATCCAGTGGTGTTATATGTTCACTTTAGTGGACCATTAGTGTTATGTGTTCACTTTACTGGACTAGTGGTGTTATGTGTTCACTCTATTAAGTTAGTATATTTTTTACCATACTTATGTATTAATGCTATATATATAAATATATATATATAGCCACGTAACTGTCTACTTTACTTATGTATACCCAATGGTGTTGTATGGTCACTTTACTGAGACAGTCCTGTTGTTATATTTACTATACTTAATGTAAAATAGCTAGGTATTTATGGTTCCTTCACCTTACATTTATTGTAAGCATCACTTGTATTTAGTACGGATTGTTGACTTCCGTTATTCAGTTAGTAGTTTCAGGACACTAAGATTCATCTCTATGATAAAATACCTAATTAGAAACAACGAGTTTTTGGTGCTACTGAGAGATAATTCTTCCTACATTCACCATGTCTTTGTATAGTAACATCACAATCTAACCAATGTCAAAATATCTTGTAAGACGACCAGGACACGTGAGTATTTTCAAAAGCACTTCGTAGTCTTTGTTTAACTTGGAAAACAGCTTTATAGTTCACTAAACACTCTCGATCAATACCAAGTGTCTTCAGAGGCCATGCAGACTTGTGTAATTATTATACAGCTGTGTACGACTCGTGAGTTTTAAATTGTTTTACAGAAATAAGAAGTAATCTTAAATTCTCACGTGAGGTTCTCTCTACGCGTTTCATTTCATTTTCAACAGAGCAGTGAACTACACAGTCCGTAGGCGTAGGAAGTAATAAAACGTTAGTAGGGCTATATAGAATCACAAGGGTGTGTGTGTAAGGTGGTGGAGGGAGGGTTGTTTGATGATGATATTAATGAAGTAATCTCGCACATTCGGGCACATCGTTGTTTTGTATACTGTAATTTAAGTTTACAATATCCTTCACGATATTAGAACCAAAGTATTTACAGCCATTTAAAGTGATTAAATGTAATAAACTCTCCTGACTATCTTCTTAAATGAGTAAAGTATTATATGTTTGTTACAAAACTCGAGATTTAATCTGTAAGTCAGATTTATAAATAATCATGTGTGTGTTGAGGGGCAGTTATTACCTGTAGGAGAAATTAAAATTGAATTTTTTTCAGAGAGACTATGAACGATTTAGTTTCTCTTAAACAAAACTTTGCATTGCATTTTTTTAAAATAAGCCTAAATACAGATGTGCATAAAAACTCCAAACTGTAGTTCTGGTATAGCTCAACTAAGCCTAATAGACAGTCACAAAAACAAGCAATTTACAGACTTGATATTTTGCCTTTACCTCATTTCTGACTCACACACACACACAATATAAGACAGTTTTTAACTATTGGTTAATTATTCATTTTCTTTTGAACAGAGACTTCTTTAGGCACTGACAAACTGTACCCGTGCCCCGAATACCCAGTTAGAATAAAAATCAGAATAAAAACCATTATCGATATCATGCTGAAACACCGAAAATTCCAGCGTCCCGAGCCACGAATCTTTTAAGCACCTAGCGACGTCTATGCTTATGAAAAATAAAAAGTTAGCAGTGTTTCATACAAAGTCATAAGCACATCTGTTCGTAATGTTATTCCAACACTTGTCACCTTAAGCTGGAGTAGAGGATGTTTTTCTTCAGAATATAATAAAGTAAGCCATTTGGAATTACCATACTTAAAACTCTAATAGTTTATTAGTCGTCTTGAAAAGAAACCATTTCCCGTTGCTTTTCTCTTTCTTTGTCACTTCGGTTATGTAACAGGAATAAGTAGTACCAGGTGTAAAGGTAACGAAACGTCAGCCTGTTAACGAGATTAAAGTTAAATAATTTGAAGTAAGGGTGCTAGTCCTCTCACGCTCAGTACTTGTTTTGTTAGGCCTAATATTACCTCCTGTTGAGACAACTGAAGCTAACTAATAAATTTAAAGACCTGACATGACGAATAATTTCAGCTTAAAGGGTTAATGTTTAGGCCAATTACAAGCATGGGACGACCTTGTAGAGTCGTACTCTGTACTAGCTATAACTACGTAAATATCACGACATTCTGCCCTTCATTTAATTCAAGAAGTAGGATAGTAAAACTCATTAAAGAGCATCTTAAACACTTCGTAAGATATTTGGAATCATTCCGAAAGTTGTTACCACTGTCACAATCAATAACGTAGTGGGAAACCCTTAGAGAGCACAGTATCCCATAAAACAGTTGGGGTAGTCGGAATTCTTATGAAAGCGTGTTATCCACTGAAAATAACTAGGATAGTTTGAATCCGTAAGAGAGAATGTTATCACTTGAAAATAACTAGGATAGTTTGAATCCGTAAGAAGACATGTTATCCATTGAAAATAACTAGGGTATTAACTATACAAAAATATTCTAGCTGTAACAACTGTTGGTATTAACTATTAAAGCAATATTCTAGTTCTGAAGCCGTAACAAGTGTTGGTATTAACTATTAAAACAATATTCTAGTTCTGAAGCCGTAACAAGTGTTGGTATTAACTATTAAAACAATATTTCAGTTTTGAAGCCGTAACAACTGTTGGTATTAATTATTAAAACAATATTCTAGTTCTGAAGCTGTAACAAGTGTTGGTATTAACTATTAAAGCAATATTCTAGTTCTGAAGCCGTAACAAGTGTTGGTATTAACTATTAAAACAATATTCTAGTTCTGAAGCCATAACAACTGTTGGTATTAATTATTAAAACAATATTCTAGTTCTGAAGCTGTAACAAGATTAAAACAATATTCTAGTTCTGAAGCTGTAACAATATTCTAGTTCTGAAGCTGTAACAATTGTTGGTATTAAACTATTAAAACAATATTCTAGTTCTGAAGCTATAACAAGTGTTGGTATTAACTATTAAAACAATATTCTAGTTCTGAAGCTGCCTTAGAGAGTATATTATATTTAAAAACAAGCTAAGGTTGTCACAACGCTATTTAGAGCATAAGTTGTCACATCCATATATAGTCTCTCA